AATACATAAGAAAAAAATAGCAAATCGTATGCCTCAATTTGCATTCAGAATCCATAGTGATTTCTTTGGATATGGATAGCATTTTCCATCATGAGACCTCTGAAGACGTCCTAGACCCTTTATTGTTGAGAAGGGCTAAGTCTATCAACGTTAGTATTGCACAAGGTGGCTGTTACTGTGTGCGACATTCTCTTGTGTCTACTCACCTCACCTGATTTTATTGTATTGTTTACTATTTCTCTGAATTGAATTTCTCTTTCTACCCTTTGCTGTTGAACTTTGTTGGTAATATTTAGAAATGCTGGGATTTATGTGGATTTATTTTATAGACTACAACATTGTTAAAGTTGTTAGTTGTTTCAGGTAGCTTTCCAGTTGATTTCTTAGAGATCTCTAAGTATACCATTATATCATCTTCAAAGAATGATAGTTTTATTTCCTCATTGCCTATTCTAATTTTTCAAACTCTCTTCTCTTACTGTTAAAGCTAATATTTCTACTCCACTACTGAATAATAGTGGTGATAATGGGCATCCTTTTTTCATCCCTGGATAAATCTTAATTTTTTTTTAATGATCTGATCTTAATTTTGTCCACAAAGATCATGAGGGAATTTTTCAAATGCTCTACTGAAATTTGGATAAAGTATATTGACAATAATCCCCTGGTCAGTCAATATGTGAAGATAGGTAGGCAGGATCTGTTGTGACCACTTCCTAGTGAACTCAAGGCAGTGGATGAGATCACCAGCAAAGACTGTCAAAGAGATTATTCATAAGGCAAAGGAATTCAACAGCATCTGAGGCTATGTAAGTTCTAGAAAGATATTGACTAACACAAAGGCTATCAGATGTTTAACGAGGTCTTCTCTTCAATGCATTTTGTACCCCATTTCCATTCAACCACTTGTATTTTTTTTAATTTGTAGTGCTTTAATATACTTTAACTTGCTTGCATGTTAAAATAATTCCATGAGGTTGGTGTCATAGGGGTTATCTTCCCTTTGATGATGTATTAAGTGCCATGCCTGTGGTCACACAGCTAGTAAGTATAAAAAGCAGCATCTGAAAGCAGAGTCTTTCTGACTCTGAAATCCAGCAAATTATTGACTATGCTACCTCTTGAGGGCTTGAAAATAGACCTGGATAAGGAACAATTACAAATATCTGAAAAAAGGACTGGTTTTTTTTTAATTTCTTGCTTTTTAAAGGAGATATTTATATATTTATCTCTGCCCCCTCCCCTTTGTAAGAAAAACAGTTAAGCAAATGAAATTGACACCCTTCCATACCCAACAATCCCATCAACCTGTGAAAAAACATGTTTCATCAGTCTTCTGATTAATATTAATTACTTGCCTTAACCTGAATCTTTTTAGTATTTTTCTTTCCATGAAATATGTTCTTGATTCTGCTTTTTTCTACATAAGTTCATAAAAATCTTCCCTTTTTTCTGTTTCTTCCCCAAAATGTGCCAACATGGGGCTTTCCCTCACCTCAATCCCTCTTTGACCTCATTTTGTTATGTGCCTTGTTGTAGACAGAGATCTGAGTCTAAGGGTTCAAATAGTTTAGTGACTTTTCTTTAAAAGTTCCAGATTGTTGTAATGGTTGGACAAGTGAAAAGATCTACCACCAGTATTTATTAAGAGCTCCTTTCTTAAACAGCATCTATTTTTTTTATGTTTGTAAATTTAATTTGAGGTGAATCCAGTATTGTTAAATGTTCATTTCCTTCAGTGACTTCCTGTAATATTTTGTTTGTTAATTGCATTTCTTACTTCTGAAAGTCATTTGTTCCTCTATTTTGAAACTTAGCTAAGAAATGATTCTTAGTCTCATATTTTTGTATCAGTTTCCTATAGCAGATTTTATTATTATTTGATTAAATTATTTTCTCCAATCTAGTTTCTCTTGGTTTTGTTTGTACATATGTTTTAATTTTATGCCTCTATCCTTTGGTTTGCAATTCTGCTTCTTATAATTGTGAAAGCTCCTTTCATTCTCCTGATCTCACCCCACTGTGTACGTGTTTTTTGTTTTTTTTTTAAAACAGTAGGCTGAGAATCCATTTGGAACTTATTGTGGAAATAAATGCTGATCTAAACATTTTCTGTCAAACATATGATCAGTTTGCATAGAAGTTTTTGTCAAATAAAGAGGGTCAGGGTTTGAAAAGTAGGTACTGAATGGATGACTATCATCAACTTTAAAAGTTACTACCAGAGTGGTGTTCAGGTGGAGGTGAAGCATCTCATTCTGCAAACAAGAACAGAATTAGAACTGTGATCCAGTAAGGAAGTGTATGGGGCAGCAATGGGCCTGTATCATAATACCTGGAAAGAAGGGTTCATTGTGGTTCTGGGAGTATGGATTTATTGAAATGATTTTGGAAAAAATTATAATGCTCGATGTCCAGTTTCAAGTAAGATGCTTTCCACATATAGCCTGCTGTTCTCAATATAGGGCTGGTACAACCACATAGATAAGTAGCTTAAAATGAGATCCTGGTTTGTAGTATGGGCAAGCTCTTCCACAATGATGCATTTCAGGTGTATTTTTTCTTGTACATTTCTGAAAGCTGATGGGAAAATTCATAGAAGTAGGTAGTGGGACATGTATGGAAAAGGGGTGTTTGCTAATTTCCACTTCCACAATGGTAATTTTCTAGGTTACAAGTTCCTTTAGTGGTTGATGTTAGCTTTTCCATTTTCACCTGTACCTTAGCCGAGTTTTCCAAAGTGTCATGAAGTTCCTTGCACAACATCTCAAATTCCTCATTATATTTTTGATGTACCTTTTGAGAATGAAAGCCAGAAGCAATGGTGTCATTCTAGTTCTACCTTGTCTTCATTAAGTACACTGATTTTGATGTTTCCTGTTTGTTTGCAACAGAAAATCCCATTTTGTTGAGTCTCCCATTTTGATAATAAATTGTGCCAATCTACAGCATTGTCTTTAATTTTTCTTGTGCTGACAGATGAAACAGTTCTTTTGGGAGTAACCATGCCAGAGTTCTTCAAGTCCATGACTTTAACACCCAACATCTAGCCCGATGCGGCAGGAGGAAGTTCAAAGCCAATTGCATTTTTTAAGGAGTTATTTTCTTCAGTCAGTTTTTGTCCTTCCTAGCTATTCACTCTCTCTTGCATACCTCTCATTTCTTTTCCCAGTTTTTCTTTTATCTCTCTTATTTGACTTTGAAAATCCTTCTTGAGCTCTTCCAAGAAGGCTTTTGGGGCCTGGAATCAATTCATATTTCCCATAGAGGTTTCAAATGTAGGTATATTGACTGTGCTGTCCTCTTCTGAATTTGTTTTTTGATCTTCCCTGTCACCATAATAATTCTCTAAGGTCAACGTTCTTTTCTGCCTTTTGCTTGTTTTGTTTGCCAGTTTCCTGGCTTTTAAAGTTGAACTTTCCTATTGGAGCACAGGGAGCACTGTCCCAAGCTTCTTGTGCTGGGAGCAAGGTGCCTTGTCACTAGCTTTCTGTACTGGGGCCTTGGGTGCTGGCACGTGGGGGATTTGGGGTCTGGCTGCTTACCAGTCGCTCTGCTGGGGTCCTAGTGGTGGTGTCTGGCATATACTAAGGCTAGGTGCAGTTTTTCTGCCTTTTCCCTGGGCTACACTGAATCAAGTGGAGGTCCAGCCACTGGTGGTTGCCTGCCTGCTTGGAGCTGCACCAGCATATGTGGTGGTTCTCCAAGCTGAAGTCTGCTGGTTGCCCTGGCTATCCTAAGATACATGGGGAATCCTGGTGTTCACATTTGCCTGCTCAACCATTCTGGGGCTCAGCATCTCCTGCTGGTTTGCTGAGGTGGGGCTTGCTGCTGGCTTGTTGGGATGCCTCTCATCGTGGACTGCAGTCCCCTTTTTATCCAAGTGAAATGAACCTTTCTTGGCAATCCTCTAATTTCCCAGGCTGAGAGACTGCTTCTCCCTGTCTTTCCACTATCTTAGCTCTTCCACTGAAACCACTGGCCAGGACTGTCTCAAAAGAAGTAGGGAAAAAAAATCCTCTTTCTTGGTGCCGTGTTGCTTAGGGAAATAAAAGTAAATGAGATCTGTATCATTAAGTAACTCTATAAACTATTCTGATTGAGCCAAGAAAACATGAAAACAAGATATGCAGGTAATACTCCACCTGTTAATTTGAAATTGATTGTAAAACTTTTAGTTACCTCAGAGCTAGATAGAGCATGACAACCTGGAGAGAAATTCACAGAGGTGAAATGATTAACAGAATTGTTAAAGATTAGGAAGAAATAAATGTACATGCCACAGGTCAAATAAATCTATTAAAACAAACCAATATAGAAAATTAGCCTGGATAGGACACAATTATCTTAATTTATGGAGCTTCTAATAATAGAATTAAACAATCATTCCAGACTTTTAGGAACCAAGATAGTGAAGTAAGCAGTAAATTACTCTCATTCTCCCTTATTGACCTCTAAATCCCCCAAAATAGCACCTCATGAAAAGTGCATGATGTTGTCTATTCTATAAACTATCTCATTGTTTTCCCCACCAATCCAACTCTGTTCTTTGTTCTCGTACTTCCCCAAATTCTATGAAGCTAGTAATCCCTATCTCATGGTCTTTGGTCATTGAGAAAAGCCATTAACCCAGTTTATGGGTTACTACTAACCTAACTAATAAATTGATCTTGCAGAGACCATTTCCTCTCAGTTTACCTTTCATTTTCAAAGATAACAGTTTCAGCTAGAGTAAATATGTAAGTCAATCTGTGATTTGGTATAAAATGAGTATCTCACAAGAAACTTAAAATGTGGAAGTAAATTGAGATTACAAAATAATCAACTAAATGCATAATTAGGAAAATAGAAATTTCTTACCCTCTCTATCTTATTTTAAAATAGATCACAATAGATAAATTATAGCTGTGATAACTGCCATTACCGCTAATGGGGGGATTTAATTCATATAAGAGAAGTAACTCTAAATAAAATAATTATTTACTTAAATATTAATACAGAGTTTACACCAGTATTGGAATTTCAAGAATCATCACAGGAAAGTGAACAAAGTTTTGATAAAAGTAACTCAGAACAGGTATGTAAAAATGATATTCAAATTTCTGAGATTTTACTTCAGTAAAAGTTCCTTTCATGCAAATTTTATTGGAAGTTTTTCACATCTTAGTTACTTTTAAATGGATTTTTGTCTGATTTCAGGAGTTGAAATTTTCTTTGGAGGTGCAGGAAGCAACTGCAAAACTTCATCCCTAGTTCTATAATAATAGAATAGAGAAAGAGTCCCTGAATGTGATTACTGCTGGCATTTTGTATAAATTTCTTATATATAAGGAATTTAAGTTAGACTACCTAATCATATAATTGTTTTGCCTTCAATAAGCCAAGTAATTGCAATAACAGAATTACCATGAATGCATGTTAAAGAATATCTTAGTCCTGATTTCTTTCTTATTGTCAGGCTAAAATTATTAGTCATCAATGGCAAGAAAATAACCTGGAATGTCAATATCTGGGAATGCATATCATTTTAGATGGCTACACTAAAATCTATCAGTGTTTTACAATGCTAGAGTATGTCATTAAAAATGCCGTAATAAAATCTTATTTGGTAAGCAAAATAATAGCAACAATAAATAATAATAATTTATAAGCTTTTACAAAAACGTTATGGCAATATTGAAGACATTACTAATGAATACTATGGTATTTTGTCACTAATGAATTGTGAGATATTTTCATTGTTAATAATGAGCAACATAAAATAATATGAAAGAGAAAAGTAGGAATTAAAGATACTTTATGTCAAGTTAAAAAAACCAATAACAAAATCTTAGCATTCATGATCAAAGATAATCTAATCTATCCTTAACCTAAATAGCCAATCCTATCTGTAATACCCCCCAAAGTAGTTGAAGACCTTCTGTGACTGAAAACTTATTACCCACAGGAAGCAGCTCATTGTTTATTTGAATAGCTCTACACTTTGAGGATGTTTTCCTTAGGCTGAGCTATAATTAACCTTCCTGTATGTGCACCCAGGGCTCCTGGTTCTCACTTAAAGAGTCAAGTTGAACAACTCAAGCCCTTTTGCATTCTAATTCTCTAAATATTTGATGACTATTATCCCAACGTCCTTTAAATCTTCTTTTCTACAGACTAGACACCTCCAATTGCCTAACAGACCCTCCTGTGATATGAATCATGGTTGAATTCTGAGCTCTCTTTAAGTTCCTCTGAACACCCTGTAGTTTTCTAGGGTCCTATCTAAGAACAGTAATACAGATGTGTTCTGATCAGGACAAAGTAGTGTATTGTCATGTCTTTCACTAAGGATACTGTACTACTTTTGCTGCAAAGATCACATTCGTCCTTTTGATAGACAACTTCAGTATTAAATTTATGGCTCAGTGAAAAATACTTTCTCTCAGGAACTCCTATGAAAAACTGTTTCTCCCATTGTGTACATACATAGTTGTTTTGTTTTATTTTGTTTTGTTTTGTTTTGTTTTAGTCCAAGTCCAGGTTTTACATTTATCCTGTTTAAACTGTATATTCTTAGCACTAGCTCATTGTTCCAATCTAGCAAAAGCCTTTGGAATCTCAGTTCTGTGACTTATTTCATCAGCAGCCTCTCCCAATTCCATGACATATACAAATCTGATCTTCAGCATTCAATATATCAGTTCCTCCTGATTATCAGTTTAAAATGGTGAACAGAATAAGACTGAGGATAAAGCGACCAACTGCCCTCCAGAATAAATTAGTGTTCATTGGGTGTTTCCAATGAAGCTGCTCCAAACCTTTAATACATCCACATTTTTCACCTAGTCCACAAAGATTTTGTGAGAAACTGTTTCAAATACTTGTTGAAATCCAGACATACTGTGTCTTTGACATTCCTTGAATCTAGTCTTTTATTCTCTAGTCTACTGACAATTAAAAAAAAAAGGAAACATAAGGTGTCTAGCATAACTTGTTTTTAATGAACTGATATCAATTCTTAATTATCCCTTCTTAGAACTCTTTTTTGGAAGTAAGTACAAACTATTAATTTGATAAGTTAGACTAGAATTTGCCAGCAATCAAGGATATTCACTTTTTTCTAGTCCCATGGCAACTCCTTGGTAAACTGTAACTATTCATAAGTTTAAGACAAAGATTCTTTAGCCCTATGTGCAAATTAGTTTCAGTACCTTGAGATGATAATCCTAATTATTTAATTTGAACTCAGTGAGAATGGTGTTGAGATGCCCATACTCTAGAGCCTCCTGGCAATGTCTTCCTTAACAGAAGTTAGAGGAGTTCCAAACCCCATGTTTCAGATGTTCTATACAAGAGAGAATCTGATCTTAGAGTCTTGCTATCATATTTCACTTAGTTACATCCTGCAGAAGCAATAGGCAAGAGGGGGGTGAAAGATGAAGCAGGTCATACAGCCTTTCCCTCCCATAGAATTTTTCTGATATCAGGTTCCAATTCACAACCAGGGCCTTCAATCCTATACATTGCCTAGACTACACAGCTTTATTCACTATATCACTGCCCTATAAATAACTATTGAAATTACCATTCCAATGTTATTTCCTCATAATCAGAACTGTGTTAGTGTATAGTTTATCCTCATTAATATATTATGGAACTTTAATCTAAGTATTTCCCAAATAGCACCACACTCATCAACAAGTAAGTTAATTGAATATTTTCTTAGAATGCATAGATTTCAGCTCAGAGTTGCTGTTATGTGCAATAGAAAGTGGCTATGATCTAGGGCTATAATAACCTTTTGAGCCCTTACTGTTACATGAAATGATTCTATCACTTCATCTATGTTCATTAAAGAAAATAATGGCTTCTCTATCATTTATTAATAGAGCAAAAATTAACACAACTGCTTAAGAAGGTGGTACATGTTCAGCTGGAAGCAGACTGTCAATTTATTAGGGATATTTTAGTTGAAATTTCTGTCCAAATGTAATCAATCAGTTGCCTTCCAACTTAGAGATTTGGTGTATCTATGAATTTGGAATATAATGAAAATCAGTCAAATAAAATGTTGCCATCTCTCTTAAATTATGACTTTTAAAAATGTCCAGTTTTGGGGAAATGATATTACAGGTCATTTAAAGTAGTTTATTTTGATATGGACGTGACACAGTAGATGGAGTGCCAGGCCTGGAGTCAGAAAGATTTATCTTCTTGACTTGAAATCTGGCTTCAGACAATTATTGGTTCTATGACCCTGATCAAGTCACTTAACCCTGTTTGCTTCAGTTTTCTCATCTGTAAAATGAGCTGGAGAAGGAAATGGCAAAATACTCTAGTATCTTTGCCAAGAAAACCTCAAATGGGATCACAAAGAGTTGGCTATGACTAAACAAGAATAAAAGTGGATTGTGGTCATGTGCACATGATAGAATGTGATGTCATGTAAACATTTTTATATAATTTATTCAAAATATCTATGTGCAGACTATCAGTACTGTGGTTTATCTCATGCAAACTAATTATGGGACTGCAATCTCCATGCATCTGAACATTTGGAGAATTTTGCCTTTAGAGTTGGATCCATGGTTCTTACCTGTACTGGGGTCAGGGAATCATATGTTACTTGGCTGTTTTGAAGCAGTCACTTCCTACCTCATAAACCCCATTAATTCTGTTGATGGATCTAAGTTGTGTATTGTAATCATTTCTTATTTCTTGTTCTGAATTACATGCAAAAATCATTTCTCTTCTCTTGTCAATTCCTACGCTCTAATTAGTAAAATAATTAGAGAGGTGGTTTTTACTGGAACCAAACACAGAAGTGGACAATCGATACAGGTATATCTCATGACAATACAGTTATTTCAAATCACATTCTAGTTTCACATAGACATGCCATAATGTAGAGTTACAATTTTTGCACTTATAATTAGTGTTCAATTTAAAGATATTTAAAAGTCAGAAATAGGCAAATACATAAATATAATAAAGACTCTCACTACTTCAAAGGAATATTGAGTTGAGATTTCTATCCCATCCCAAGTTTATATTTTATTTGCTTGGTTTTTCCATTAGGCAGAATGCATGTTTATTAAAATACTGACCATTCTAATTTACTGCTATTTTTAAACAAATTGGAAAAGTATGGTACTGTGAGACCACCAAAAAAAGAGATATAAAATAGGAAATCGTTCCTGTTTGTTTTTTTAGGAATATACTATGGCACATGCTTAATAATACATTTACCCTAATCCAGAATACCCTGGATAAAACTTACATTGAAATTTTGTTTGTTCTATTATTTAGGGAAAGTTTAAATATTTTTTCAAGATTCATTAATTTATGTATTTTTGGTTTTCAACATTCACTTCCACAAGATTTTGAGCTCTGAATTTTCTCCCCATCTTGTCCATCCCCCAAAGCCAAAACAGCATGCATTCTGAATACTTTCCCCTAATCTGCCCTCCCTTCTACCTCCACCCCCCTTTCTCTTCTATTTTCCTGTAGGGCAAGATAGATTTCTATACTACATTACCTGTATATCTTATTTTCCACTTACATGTGAAAACAATTTTTTTTTAACATTTGTTTTTAAAACTTTGGGTTCCAAATTTTCTCCCATCCTCCCTTGAGAAGAGAAGCAACTGATACTGGTTATACTTGCGTAGTCATGCAAAACACTTCTACAGTAGTCATGCTGTGGAAAACTAAATAATTTCCTTTCATCCTATACCACCCTCCCTTATTCTATACTCTCTTTTGACCCTGTCCTTTCTCAGAAGTGTTTCCTTCTGATTACCCTTCCCCAGTATGCCCTCCCTCTATCATCCCCTCTCTTATCCTCTTCCCCCATCTTTTCCTGTAGAATAAGATGACTTTCCACACCCAATTGACTGTGTATATTATTCTCTCCTTAACCAAATACGATGAGAATAAGATTCACTCATTCCCTCTCACCTTCCCCCTTTCCCCACCACTGTAGAAGCCTTTTCTTGTCTGTTTTATGTGAGATAATTTACCCTATTCTACCTCCTCCTTTCTCCTTCTCCCAGTATAATCCTCTCTCACCCCTTAATTTTATTCTCCAGATATCACCCATTCATCTTCAACTCACCCTGTGCCCTCTATCTGTCAATCTGTCTATACATATATTTTTCCCCCTCCAACTACCCTAAGACTGACAAAGGTCTCATGAGTTACAAATATCATCTTTCCATGTAGGAATGTAAACAGTTCAACCTTGATAAGTCCCTTATGATTTCTCTTTCCTGCTTACCTCTTCATGCTTCTCTTGAGTCTTGTATTTGAAAGCGAATTCTTCTATTCAGCTCTGGTCTTTTCATCAAGAATGCTTGACAGTCTTCTATTTCACTAAATATCCATTTTTCCCTTGAAGGATTATACTCCATTTTGCTGGGTACAGGATTCTTGGTTGTAATCCTACCTCATTTTCCCTCTGGAAAAGCCTATTCCATGCCCTGTGGTACCTTTATGTAGAAGCTGCTAAAACTTGTGCTATCATGATTGTGTTTCCACACTACTGGAATTGTTTCTTTCTGGTTGCTTACGATATTTTTTCCTTGACCTGGGAACTCTGGAATTTGGCTACAATATTCCTAGAAATTTACCTTTCAGGATCTCTTTTAGGATGTCATCGATGGAGTCTTTTCATTTCTGTTTTACCCTCTGATTCTAGAATATACGATCAGTTTTCCTTGATAATTTCTTGAAAGATGGTGTCTAGGCTCTTTTTTTTGATTGTGGCTTTCACATAGTCTAATAATTTTTAAATTATCTTTCCTGGATCTATTTTCCAGGTCCGTTGTTTTTCCAATGATATATTTCGCATTGTCTTCTGTTTTTCATTATTTTGGTTTTGTTTTACAGTGTCTTGATTTCTCATAAAGTCACTACTTTCCGGTTGCTCCATTCTAATTTTTAAGGAAGTATTTTCTTCAGTGAGCTTTAGGACTTCAGTTTCCATTTGACCAATTTTGCTTTTGAAGGCATTCTTTTTCTCATTGGCTTTTTGGACCTCTTTTGCCATTTCGGTTTGCCTATTTTTTAAGGTGTTATTTTCTTCATTATTTTTTGTGTCTACTTCAGCAATCTGTTGACTACTTTTTTATGATGTTCTTCCATCACTTTCATTTGTCTTCCCAGTTTTTCCTCTAATTCTCTTACTTGCTTCTTGAAATCCATGGCCTGGGACTGATTCCTATTTTTCTTGGCTGCTGTGGAAGTAGGAACATTGACTTTGTTGTCTTCTTCTGGTTGTATGTTTTGATCTTCTCTGGCACCAAAGAAAAATTCTGTGGTATTCCTTTTTTTTTTCTTTGTACTGTTTGCTCATGATCCCAGCCAATTACTTGAGTTTTAAACTCTTTGTTAAGGTAGGGGGTCTGCATCTAGTATGGAGAATGTATGGTCCCAAACTTTGGGGTTTTCTGCAATTTTTTCAGAGATACTTCTAGGGACATCTAAACTTTCAGTTCTTCCAACGTGGTATGAACAAGGGTAGGCTGTTTACTACTTTCATGGGCTGTGCTCTTATCTATGAGTGACAACAAGTGCTTTTTTTACCTTGGAACTGTCAGGAGTATTCCCTCTGCACCATTACTACAAGCTCTACCACTCCAGCATTCCTCCTTGCCCTAGGACTGTCGCCCAGAATTGTGATTCAGATCTAAGCACAGGCAAAGAAAAAGAATACTCCCTTACCATCAGCATTGAGTTCCCTGAAATCCTCTTCTGATCAGCCACTGGATTCCCCTCAATTTGTGGCTAGAATCTCCAGAAGCAGCTGCCACCCTGGGTCTGGGACCTAGCTTCTCTCTCACGATGTCACAGAATTTCTGGTGACTTTTAAAGTTGTCTTTGGAGTTTGTGGTTTGAGGAGTCAGAAAACCCCCACAGCTATCCATGATTCAGTCCCCTGAGGCCTGCTTTAGGTTCACTGAGGCATGGTCTTTCCCTACATACCCAAGCTGAACTACTTTTCTCTCCAAGCCCTACACAATAGTTCTTTCTAATCAAAGGTGAGATAGAGCTTTCTAATTAACCATCCAGGTTGTCTTGGGCTGGAGATTTCTTTCACTCTCTCTTTTTGTGGGTTCTGCTGCCCTAGAATTTGTTTAGAGACCAGTTTTTTTATAGGTATTTGGAGGGGTTTGGGGGAGAGCTCAAGGAAGTTACTACATTTGCTCCACTATCTTGGCTCTGCCCCCCTCCCCCACCACCCCAGTTTAAATAATTTTTAACATGTCTTTGAAACACAATGATTTGGGGCTAGATAACATACTAAGCTTTACAGAAAAATTTTAACTACTGTTTGTTTATTCTTTAATTTTTCTTCTTCCATATTTCTTTACTAAGGAGAAAGTTACTTCAGAAAGAGTCAACATACCAGAACAAACAGCACCTGGGAAACAAGTTAAACCACTTCATTTTCCACTTTCATATCTGGAAAAAAGTCTCAAGGACGAGAATCCAATAAGGAATCTAATAGTGATAATGTGCATTTAGATGTAGAATCAAAATGGGCAGAAAGATGTGAAAAACTGTGGGTTAAACAGAAGACAATGGAAGTCAAAAGGAATTTTAAAATTGTTCCAACTGAGTTTAAGCAGATATTTGAAGAAATTTATGAAAAGGACAAAATTGCAGATCAGCCTACAGAGAAACTACAAGATGAGGAACTACTAGATGTCTCTGAAAAGGAAATAGAACAGTTACAAGAAGCATCCCTTAATCTGACAAATAGCTCAGGTGATACTGAAAAAGAGGAGAAATGTAGAGGCCCACTCAATGTAGGAGTTCAGTCATTTTCTGAACAAAACGATTACTCTCTGCAAGATGCTGTTTTAAACAATTTAAAGCTCACTTTCCAAGAAAATGTTCTTCACTCATCTTCTAATCTAAGCTCAGAAAGTAGTAACCTATACCATAAGAAAGGTAATAAGTCAGAAATTGAATGTACTTGCAATTTAAATGAAGAATATGTTGCTTATGATGCAGAAATTATAATATCCAACTCACAAATAGCTATAATGAAAGAAGGAAGATGAAGCATTTGGTATGAAACTGGCAGGAAATCTAAACAGAATACCAAAACTTTGGAATCAGATTCAGGATGTTTGCTACAATCAAGTAGTCTAGCAAGCCATTTTGATGTCTGGTGTACTCGCTCTGATGATATGCAATCAATCATCCAAGAAAAAAAGCCTACACTCACCACTGCAACCAAATTTAATGAGAAAACAAAAGTAAAAGAAAACTTCTTGCAGAAAAGAGATCACAAATTTATTGAAATACCACATTTGGCCTCCCATCAATGGAACCAAAGCTAGAGAGCTTCAGTGCACAGAGAGTTCAAATGACTCACCACCAGGCACGTTCTTCTGCCATTCTTAATTCCTCTCTGATTAGTTGTGAAATTTCCCCTCCCTCTTTGCCCTATATCCAAGTTGGACATTCTTCTCTGCCGCCAGCTGTATTAAGAAGTCACACGGGTAGAAGAGGCACACTGCAACTGGTTGTGAAGTCAGCCTTTATAAGACAACATTCAAGTCCACGAACAGCCTCTCCTTGCCCTCCCCTCCTCCACCAACACACGTGCTCAGACACAGTAGTTCCACTGTCTTTACATTTCCCTATCATAAGTGCCTTCTGTTTAGGTTTTATTAAGCTTGAAAGCCTTTAAATGGAACAGAGCAAAAACTCGTCGTGCTAGTTGACTGTCCAAAGAAGGTATGTTCTTTCCAAATAGTTGAAGACGTTGACTACATAAAATTGGAAATAGTATTTTGAAAGTATTTAAAAATATGTAACTGTAGTCGAAATGATCTGAGGGTGGTGTAGTGAAAAGAACAGAAAGCTAGGAATGAAAAGACCTGGAGCAGTGGTAGATGTGAGGGGGCATCATTGTGTACTAGAAACAACACTAAGTTTAGAGTCAGGAAACCTGGGTTCTAATCCTGGCTCTGCCATTAATTAACTGATGTTAGGCAAATCACTTTACCTTTGTGAGCCCCATTTTCCTTAAGTGTGAGATGAGGGTGTTAAAGTGGCTGATCTCTAAGGTCCTTTCCAGCTCTAATATTCTATGACCCTGGTTGTAACATGCTGTTGTAACCCATGTATATATAACCCATACCCATGTTGTAACAAGTCCCTTCACTTGCTGTCTAAGTTTCTTCACCAGGAAAACAGGTACAATCCATGAACTGCCTGCCTCCCGGCTTGTTGGGAGTGAGGATGGTGTCAAGAAAAGTGCTCTGAAAACAATAAAGTGACGTTCAAATTGAAGGGCAGCACCCCAAGATGGCACTCCCAGGTTGCCGGTTTGGTGCCCAGAGAAGCTGCTCCTTCAGGTTTCAGGTACTCTGTGTGTGTCTTTATGCCTGGGTGTCCTCCATCAACAGTGCACCTGCCTTTAACAGCCAGGTGATCCAAAGTTCAAAGCACAGGCAGTTTGTTAAGCAGTGGTAAGTACGATAGCTACAAAACATTCTCTCCATGAATGTGGGGTGTGCTGTCCCACAAATGCACAGCGTGTCTGTTGATGGAATGAGTGGGCAGAGTCCACTGGTAGTGAGGTGGAAACACTCATGGTTAAGGCAACGGTGCTATGGCATTTTAGGGCCACAGGGCTCTTTCTGGTCTTGAGGGGTCTTCATGCGCCCATGGGTGCAGCATCTCGGGTAGAGGTCACTCAGCAGGGCTCCACGGGCCTGTCCTCTCCACAGCTCACAAATCTGATTTTCTTTTTCTATAACTGATTCTCTCCCCTGATGCCAATGGTCGCATGTCTTGGAGCCATCTCCTTGGGACTGTTCTCTGAGGTTACGCCTTCTATGACTGCCACCTACTAGGACTATTTCTCTCTTGAATGCTCTGCTGACAGGTTGCTTCTTTCCCCCACCTACCCTGCCCCTTCCCTCTGACTTCCAGAGCTGGATATGATGTATCCTACTACCATTTTTATGAGATGAAAGGAAAAAAGAGAAATCCCTGTCCTCACTGTTGCCCTCTCATAGAGGCACAGAGGTCACCATCCACAAAGCTGCTTCCTGCCTCTACTGAATCTCAGGGCTGACAAGACTGCTTTTTAAGATCCCCAGGGGAATGACTAATCTTTAAGCAAGCTAACCCTCTAATTCCACCAGGGAAAATTCCTTTACATTTGGGAAATGTTATTTCTGTTATTTCATCAGCTGAGCTGGGGACAGGAGGAGGACTTCCTGGGCCCATAAGATATTAAGAATTTTAAAAAATATCGATAAGTCAAGGACATGTGGCTTCATCTACATGACTCCCTCTCTCTATAGAAACAGATGACATGCCTTAGGAAATTGATTCATGAAGTGCTGTGGTTAGAAAAAAATTGGCCTCCTGGCAAAACTTCTGGTAATGAGACAGTTTGAACTTAGCTAGCCTGGTCCTTGGATAATGGGAATGCCTGCCATTACTGTGCCCATACTATAAACCTGCCAGAATTTATGTTCTGCGCATATAATTTGGGATTACCTGCTTGCTCTGATGAGGTGTTAGAATCAAACTTGAGTGGAGTCAATGTCTAACTTGATGTAGTGGCTTTTGCCCTTGTAGGTCTGAAAGGAAATTTGCTGTAGCCTAAGTCTCTGGTTCTAGCCTTCCCCACAGTGTCATTCCAAACCTTTTCTTCTGTCTTAAAATCCCCAGTCCTCACCCTGCCCCCTGCAATTTCAGCCGATGAGCTGAAACATCACTAGGACAGCTGAGCAGTACAGAGCCCTGGACCAAGAGTTAAGGAAACCGGAGGTCAAATCCAGCTTCTGTGTCACCAGCTGTATTATCCTAGACAAGTCACTTACCTTCTGCCTGCCTCTGTTTCCTCATCTGTAAAATGTTAACTTTTATTATTGAGGCTTCTTGTCCTTTACTGAGATCAAAATCATTCCTCAACCCTTTTCTCCAAAGTTGCTTTTTTGTTTTTACCCACCCTATCTTCTTTGTCTTCTTTCCATCTTCTTTAACTGTCCCCTTGAACACATCTCCTTTTAGCTCTTTTGGGACCTGGCTTCATCAAGGGCTTTGCCTGATCAATATCCCTCCTCCTTCCTGTATCTTCACTCTGTCTCCATGATCTCTTTCCCTTCCATGATAGGTATGTTCACATAACTATGACATTTTAAAAACATCCATCCTTGACTCTGCTACTCCCTTAAAACACCGTCCGACATTCCTTCCTTTCACTTCCCAACGTCTTGTGAGAGTACTAGACACTAACATGGCTACGCTGCCTGCACTTCTTTGCTCATTTCTCAACCCTTTGTAATCTAGCTTCTTTCACCTCCATTTTACTGAATCTGCTTTCTTGAAGGTCAAAAATGACTTCTGAGGCACCAACCTTATCCAACAGCCCTTTTCATTCTTTGTTCTCTTTCACCTCTGATAGTATTTGACATTATGGATCAGTACCTCCTGATATCATCTATTCTTTTGGTTTCTGTGACACTGTATTCTCCTGGCTCGCCTTTGATTTCCCTGACTGCTTTCCACCCCTCCCCCTATATCCTCTTCCTCCTCCTGTCCCCTTATTGTGGATACTCCCCGAGGTTATGACCTTAACCTCTCAATTTGTCCCTTCATATCCTCTTTCTTGGTGATCTCATCTGCTCTTATGACTAGTTAATTCCTCTAAATGGCTGATTTCCAAACTGATACCTCTAGTTCTAATTTTCTCCCAAAGCTCCAGGTCTTCATTTCCACCTGTCTCCTGGACATTTCTACCTGACAGTCCCACTGGCACCTCATTCTCAGCTCTTCATCTTTACTCCAAAGTCTGTGTGCCTCTTCTTGACTTTCCTATTTCTGTGGATCATGTCATTTCCCCAGTTGCCCAGGCTTAAAACTCCAGAATCATTTTTGACTCTTACTTCATTCCTCACATCCAGCCATCAAACCTTGTCAATTCTTTGCCTGAAATGTTTCTTAAATCTCTTCCTTTTCTCTATTGCCATTGCCGCAATAGGGTTGGTTTTTGTTTTTGTTTTTGTTTTTTGGCAAAGATACTGGAGTAGTTTGCCATTTCCTTCTCCAGCTCATTTTACAGATGAGGAAAGTGAAGCAAACAGGGTTAAGTGACTTGTCCAGGGTCACACAGCTAGTAAGTGTCTGAATCCAGATTTGAACTCAGGTCTTCCTGACTCCAGGCCCAGCACTCTGTCCATAGAGCCACCTAGCCGCCTAAACTATTACAATACCTCCTAACAAACCTTTCTAGATCTATGCAGTACTGCCAGATTAATTTTCCTAATGCATAATTTTATCCTATTACCCTTTTATTTAAAAGCATTTAATATTTTCCATTTGTCTGCTGAATAAGGTCCAAATGCTAACAGGCTGGCTTTTGAAGTTGTCCATAATTTGGCTCCAACTGATTTTTGTAGTCTTCTCTTTCCTAACTTTCCTACACATAGGCTCTATCTCAGCAAAGCTAAACTATTTACCACACACCAAACACAGCCTGTGCTTTCCCACCTACTTCTCTTTGCTCACGTCCTT